GCCCCACAAACATGTGAACACATGACTACACATGTGCACACGTAGACACGCACTTACACAGGTATGCATGTACGCTCAGCATGAACACATGAAGACACGTCTCCGACCCGTCCCGGGCGCCCAGGGCTCCATTCAAGTTCCAGCCCCACCTTCAGCCGGCCTCTGCTTCTCAAGCCTGAGGTCCGTGGGGCTGGAGCCGTAGCACAGCCGGGAGGGCGCTGGCCTTGCACGCGGCCGACCCGGGTTCGATTCCCAGCATCCCATAGGGTCCCCCGAGCACCGCCAGGAGTGATTCCTGAGTGCATCGCCGGGTGTGACCCAAACAGCAAAAACAAAAACAAAAAAACCCCAAAAACACCCGAGGTTCCAATGGCCTGTCCCCAACTCGGGGGAATTTTCCGAGACTGCACCCACTCCTGTCGCTCCCTAGAGACCCCAGTGCCAGGTCCCGGCTGTGCTTACCCCCATCTCGGGGGTGGGAGTTACACCAAGGGAAGGCACCTGGTGGGCGCAGCTGCAGCCCTGGGGCCTTCGGCCAGGCTCCCCTCAGCCCCCTCAGGGCCAGGCTCCCCCCAGCCCTGCCCTGGGTCCCCCGCCCGCCTCACTGTCCCCTCTGAGCCGGGGCCTGCGTGTGGCGCTGCGGCTGCACCAGGGCCGACCCCTGCGGCTTCCCGGGACGGGGACGGCGTCTCCCCAGGGCAGGCCAGGGCAGGGCAGGGCAGCGCGGGGGAGCCCAGGTGGGCGCGTCCCCGCTCGGGTCCGGCTGGGACAGGGCAGGTCGCGGGCCTCGGGGCCAACTGGCCACCCAGCGCCGCCGGCCACCGCGGCCATCGGGGGGCGGCACAGCGCGAAGGGAAGCGCCCAGGCCCCGAAGCCCCGGCGCGGGCACAGGCGTGGCTGCATGTTGGGGCACGGGTGTGGGGTACAGGTAGGGGGCAGAGGTGTGAGGGGCGATGGCCTGGGGGTCCAGGTGTGATGGACACAGGCGTCAGGGGCAATGATGAAGTCACACAGGTGTGCGGTCCGGGTGTGATGGACACAGGTGAGGAGGGTAATGACACGGGGACGCAGGCGTGCAGGGAGACCCAGACCAGGCGTGGACGGGACACTCGGGCGGGCCCAGAGGCCCCCGAACGCCCCTGCCCGGTGTGGGGAGGGGCGTCTCGGGCGCCCCCAGGTCCCTCGCCCGTCCGCCCGCCCGCTGGGCACGGATCAGGGCCAGGCCGGCTCCGAGGCCCCCTCCAGGCAGCCCCGGGCCCAGCGGACAGCAGCGGCCGTTCCGGAACACTGACCCGCCCCCCCCCCCCCCCCCGGGGGTCCGGACCCCGCGGGTCAGTGCAGGGGTCAGTGCAGGGGGTCAGTGCAGGGACGGGCCAGGTCCAGGTCACAGCGTCCAGTGGAGGGAGGGAGGCAGGGAGGGCGCGGGAGGGCTCCGAGCAGGACCCGGACCCCCGAGACACGCCCACAATTTAAAACTACACTACCCAGAACGCCTTGCAGCGCGGGCTGCCGGGGCGTGTAGGCCAAGGCCCCGGGGGCTGCTGGGAAGTGTAGTCCAAGGCTCCCGGGGGCGTAGCCCAGGCCGCGAGGGCTGCTGGGAAGTGCAGTCCGAGCCCCGTGGTCCTTGGCACTGTGCGGTGCTGGGAAGTGTGGTCCTCCCGGCACAGGCCTCTGGGACGTGTAGTCCAACTGAGGTCAAGCACGGCGGGCCACGGCCACCTTGGGAGCCCCTGGACTACGCGGGACGGGCAGGATGTGCCACTGGGGAGCAGATGAGACTCTGACTGTGTCTCCAAGGCTTCGGGGGCTGGAAGCGCAGGAGTGGACAACATGAGCGCAGGGCGCAGCCACTGACCAGCCTCTCCGGGGGGAGGGGCAGCTGCCCCAGGTCTGCCCACGGCGTCACTCCTGTGGCCCGGGAGAGGGCGGCGGGGCTGCAGAAACTTCCAGGCCTCCTGCAAGGTCTGGGGCTTTCCCGGGGGTTGAGACTGTGTCATGCGGGGGCCGTAGAAGGGCCCTGGGCCCGGACTCGTGCCTGTCACTTTGGACTCTGCCTGTCACTTTCCACTTTGAGAGGAAAAGCCCGAGATGCGCGCCACAGCGCTGTCACGGCCTAGCTCTCTCCCACTCCGGTGTCCCCACGTCCAGCAGAACCCCCTCCCTGGCCCCCGAAGGACGAAGGGCTGGCAGGGCAGCAGCCTGGGGCCCAAGTGTCCTTCTCCGCTGTGTTGGGGGCTGTGGGACGGAGCATCAGCTGCTGGTGCCGCCCGAAGCCTCTCTTGCAGGGGGCTGGACCACCCTTGCCTCTTAACCCGCGTGGGTCTGTCTGCAGTGGCTGCCTGACAGATGAGAACACAGTTCCCGAACCTCTCACTGACCAAGGCCATTTCTGGAAAGTTCCCCCAGGCCCAGACAGCCGGGGCCACAGCTTGCTTCAGGTGTGGTGACTCACAGTCAGCCCCTGGCCAGGGAGGCTTTGGAGTCTCTCCAGGGGCCTCAGCCAGGAGCTTGGACATGGCTGATCCCAGGGCCTGACGATGCCAGGTACAGTGAGGACTGTGGGCACAGGCTGTGTGCAGAAACCCTTCCAAGGGACCCCCGCTCAGAGAACATCACCTCAGAGATGTCTCGAGGACCATTTCCTCAGGCCACATGATCTCAGGAACACCTCCACAGGGGACATCACTTCAGGGCACATCTTCACAAGGGACATCACCTCAGGGATGTCTCAAGGACCTTTCCCTCAGGGACCTCTTCTCAGGACACATCACCTCAAGGGACATCACCACAGAGCCACCTCCAGAGGACCTCAGCTCAGGGGATCAGGGGGTCAGGGACACCCCTCAGGGCTCTCCCTGAGCAGCACTGGGCCAAGCGGATCTTTGCTGGAACTGAGTGGCCCCGTGTGTGGCTTGTGTGGAATGTGGGTGACGGGGACTCCCCTGCCACCCACAGTGGGGTGCTGCTCTCCTGACCCAAACCCCACTCCTTGGAGGCTTCTGACTGTGCTGCAGCCTGGGGTGGGCCCAGAAACATGTCTGGCTGGAAATGCTCTACACCACAGCCCACAAGAAAAGAACGGCCGTGTCAGAACACCAGGCCCTGTCTGTGCCCGATCATTTTCCTTCAGTTCTGTTGCCGGGAGGAAGCCAAGTGAGCACTGCAGGGTTTGGCGCTGAACCGAGCTCATCCTGAGTACAGAAACAGCCCATGCCGCTCTCCGACTCACCTATTTGTAAGCAGGGGTTACGGCCTGTGATGGCTAATAAACTCCTTAGAATGACCCACAAACTTGGCCAGAATTTTGTCTCCTAAGCGCAGATGTTTTTCTTCCTCCAGGGAATGTGGGCCAGTGAAAATCTGGCGGGGCTGGGGCTTGGGGCCAAGGGCTCAGGGCGCTTCACACACGGGCTCTGCATATCCGCTGGACCATTTTCTCAGTTGCAGAGGATGAAAAGAGGCACCTGTACCCCAATACTAGGAGCGAAGGGCTCTGGAACCCCAAAGGGCTGCTATGAAGGGGGCACAGCCCAGCTGGAGATGAATGACATGAGGTACAGGACGTTGGGGCGCCGGGCATGTGGGGTGCTGCCATCTGGGTGCAGGGCACGTGGGGTGCGGGATGCACAGGATTTGGGGGTCAGGCTGTGGCCCGGACTTGGCTCCTTTGGGCTTTGGTCGTGTGGGCTGGAGGTGAAGAGGCTGGGGTGGCCAGGTGTGGCTGGGAACAGAGGCCATGGGATAAAGTGGTCACTGTACAGCCCCACTGTCCCTGAGAGGGTCGGGTCAGTCTGGAGGAAAAGCTGTGTGCCCCCCACTCCCAGTGAGGGTGAGCAAGGGGGCTCAGCCTGGAGCCAGGCGCGTCGAGGGGGACATGGCCACATGGACAGGAGCTACCAGGAAAGGTTCCAGAGCACCCCAGCCTGCAGTCGCTGTGGCCCTCCCCTGCATGTCCAGAGCCAAGAGTCCCTGCCTCTCCCCTTGCCCCCACTCATCCTGGTACCCTCCGCCTCTTCCCTGCCCTCTGGGTAGGGTCTGTGGCCTTGAAAGGCACCTGCCGCCACCACCACGTGTGGCCTGAGCTCCAGAACCCCACAGGCCACTGCAACTCTGTGGATGGACATGGCATGCTCACCCCCAAGAAGGACTTGGGAGGGACAGGCCACACAGAGCAGGGCAGGTTGTGGGCTGTGGCAGCTGGGCCTGTGCTCACCCTGACAAGAGACAGTGAGCGTCAGTGCAGGTGCCCCTTGCTGTCCACTGAGGCTGCTGTGAAGTGATGGATGCAGTAATGATGAGGAGGCCCGAGGCCAAGGTTGGGCCCTGCGTGGGGCACAAACGGCGGCTTCTGCCTCTTGCGCCAGGGGCTTGAGGCCAGCGGGGTCTCAGTGGAGTGCTGACCTCGGCAGGGAGCTGCAGGTGGCCTGGGCTTAGCGCCCATCACGAGCAGCTCTCCCGGACGGGCAGACGGCCACTGCGAGCCCCGGCCGGATGAGACTGGCGTCAGCACAGGGAACACTGCCGGGACAGCAGGGAAGCCACGTGGGAGCCATGTCACTGGAGGCCGGTCACAGCTGAGATCTGGGCGCAAGGAAGCGTCACGTCCACGCAGCTAGGGCGACCCCTGGGGACACTGGGTGTGATGGCCTCTTCAATCTGACAGTGGGGGGGGGGCGCTGTCCTGGACACTCGTCCAGCAGGTGCCTGTTCATTCCTGCCCGGGGCTCCCACTGAGGGCGGCCTGGGGGTCTCTGCACCCTGAGATTCCTGGGGGGCTTGACAGACACATCTGTTCCATCTGGGTGGGCCCGCCCCCTTCCCGACGGGCTTGGCTGGCTCTCTGGGTGCCCCCCAACCCCCTCCCCGCCTCTCTCTGCCCTCCCCCAGCCCCCTCTCCTCTGCCCTCCCCCCAAATCCCCCAACTACCCCCGACACCGAGACAGTGGCTGAGCCTGAAGGCCTAACGGAGCCGCAGGAGTGCAGTGGGCTGACACTGTGTGCACAGAGGCAGAGACGTTTATTCCTCAGGGTCCGAGTGGTGCAGGGGAGGTCCCATGCGGGCTGACCCCGCTTCCCGCCGCCTGGGCGCCGCAGACTGTCCTCGGCCGTGGTGGGGCGCCTGATGCTCACTTCAGCCAGATCCACTGGTCGCCCACGTCCTCGTTGTAGCCGGGGCAGTACTTGCGCCCCGGCAGCTATGGGGAGAGGCCTGGTGAGTGGCTCCTTGCCCTGCTCGCCGCCCCTGGCTAAGGCTGGGCCCGAGCTCTGGGGGAGCCTCAGGGCCTTGCCGAGCGCTGGTCCAGGGTGCCTAGGGCCACTTAGGGCCCAGCAGGGCAGACACAGGGCCAGGACTCCCCGGACAGACCTTCCTCCCAGCTGGCCCAGCTACTGTCGACGGAACCCGGGGACACAGGCAGGCCACAGGGGAAAGAACGTGGGGAACGTAGGGGGATGAGTCCAGCACGAGACAACGGGAGATCAGGGGCCACACGCAGGGCCCGGGGCTGACTTGGAGCCCAGGCCTCAAGTTGCTTCCTGGTGATGCCGTCACGGGCGTGGTGACGAGACTAGAGTCACCTCAGAAGTCCTTTGGGTTCTGAACAACCTGAAGTTCAGAGCGAGCCCGAGAGCTGCTTGACACACACGTGCCCGCTTGCTCACGCGGGGCTGCGGCTCTGCTGGCCCAGACCCCCCAGACAATGGGCACAGCACAGGAACGAGCAAGCAGCCGACAGGACAGCCGGCCCCTCGGGTCCAGCTCCTCTCCAGGGCTGCGTGCCCCGGCAGATGTGGTGGCCCTTTGGCGTGCAAACACCTCAGGCTGGGCCCCGGGGGCCGAAGGGACACGGGGACTCGCTCCCGAAATGCAGCAACCACGTGTAAGGCGGGGAGAGGGAGCCAGGAATCCAAGAACAGCCGGTCCACACCCACATGTGCAGACACCCGTGGTGGGGAGCAGTGGACACCTGAGCAGGGACCCCCACCCCTGAACGCCCGAGGCTGCTCAGCACGGCCCACCGCTTCCAATGGCTGCCTGGCTGTCTCTCCTGCTCCCTTCCAGGGCCGTGAATCCACGAGTCAGGGATTCCTGCCAGGCTAGGCTGGGGCAGCGCTGCACCCACCACCCCTCCAGGGCCACCCTGTGGCCAACGGGGGACAGGGGACACGAGACGCTGACTGCAGGGGCAGGGGAGACACTGTGGGGGCCACAGGGAGAAAGGGGACAGCACGGGGGCTGCAGGGGAGGGAGGGGAGAGAGCGCGGCCAGAGGGGGGCTGCAGGCTGGGGGAGGCCAGTGGCCGTCTGCCTGGGTGGGCAGCGCCGAGGCTGAGCTTGGCCGACACCCCTGCTAGCCCCAGCCGGGCCGACCTCTCCAGTGACTCGAGATGGATCTCAGGACAACCAAGTCACTTACTGGTCCCAAGCCGACGGGGCACGCAGACGCCCCAAACCTGCCACAGAGACTGCGAGTCCTGAGACCCCACAGGGCCTGGCACGGGCCCCCATGGCTCACCTCGCTGAATTTGCGGAAGACGCGGTCGCTCTGGTGGGCGCCGATGGTGATCTCGGGGAGGTACACGGGGATGGTCGTGTACTTCAGCACCTCCAGCTTGTTCTGCACCCTGAGAAGGAAGGCGGTGGGTCACACGCTGGTGCTGGGCTGTGTCCTCCCCTGTGGGGACCATGTGGGGTCCCTGTGGGCTGGGGCTGACAGGGCACAGGCAGGGTGGGGGCCCCGTGGCTGGTGGCTGTCCACATGTTTCTCTGTCTGGGAGGAACACAGACCACAGGACGCCCCTCACACACTCCTGAGTGCCAAAACGCGGACACTGGCACAAGCTGCTTCTCTGAATGAAACAGTCTGAATGGGGCCAGTGGGCTGCAGGCGAGAGGCATGTGGGTGCCCAGGAGGTGTCTGTCTGGTGCCCAAGTCCCTGCACAGGGACACCATCCCAACGACCCCAAGGTGCCAGACCCCCCGGCCAGCCTCAGTGCCAGCAGGCCCGCTGACAGCAGCATCGGCCCACAGGCCTATTCGGAGCGTGCACCAGTGTCAAGACTCAGAGGTGAAAATTATCCTAGATGTATTGCGCCAGGATGTTTGCTAAAGTGACGCTACAGAACAAATTTAACTGAACCTGAAGGACCCCTTTCACCTGTTAACACGAGTCAGGGCTGGAGGTGGTTTGGCTTTTTCTACACTTTGGAATGATCCCCCAATCCTAGAGAACAGCCTAGCGGGACCGGCCCCCAAGCACGACGCCAGAGACACCAGCAATGCCCAGCTGCCCTTCCCACCTTGCCCACAGTCACGCAGAGCACAGCCCAGGGAGCGCGAGCCCCGAGGACACATCCCAGAACCAAACTGCGGGAGGGAGAACGCAGTCGAGGGCATGCAATGCAAACGGGCAGGCGTGAAATTCCCTCAGCACCTGCCAAGGAGCCGCAGGCTGCTCCTCTCCCAACTGCCCCCCACCACGCTGCCCCAGGGAGGCCACCGCAGGGCACACCCTCCTCGGGGAAGCAAGCCGCCACGAAGGGACAGGGCTTGGGACCCCAGGGAAGGGGGGGGATGTGGCCAACACATGGGAAATGCTGCAGCAGATAGACACACACACACACACACATACATGCACACACACAGGTACACACCTCACAACTCTGGCCCACCACTCACAACCAAGAATACAGAAGTGCCTGACACACACACACACACACACACACACACACACACACACACATACAGGTACACACCTCACAACTCTGGCCCACCACACACAACCAAGAATACAGAAGTGCCTGACACACACACACACACATACAGGTACACACCTCACAACTCTGGCTCACCACTCACAACCAAGAATACAGAAGTGCCTCACACACACACACACACACACGCACACACACACACAGGTACACACCTCACAACTCTGGCCCACCACACACAACCAAGAATACAGAAGTGCCTCACACACACACACACACACACACACACACTCACACACACAGGTATACACCTCACAACTCTGGCCCACCACACACAACCAAGAATACAGGAAGTGCCTCACACACACACACACACACACACACACACATATGCACACACAGGTACACACCTCACAACTCTGGCCCACCACACACAACCAAGAATACAGAAGTGCCTGACACACACACACGTACACACCCCACAACTCTGGCCCACCACACACAATCAAGAATACAGAAGTGCCTGCCAGCGGTTTGGTCCAGATGGAACAAGAAGGGCAGGTAACGGAGTGGAAAACTGGCTGCAATTTCCTCTCCGGCGCCCGGGCTAAGAAATGGGGCTCAAACAAGAATCAAACTCCCATGGTGAGCTGTTGGGACCCCTCAGGTGGGGCAGCTCTGACAGAGCAGTGGCAGAGGGGCTGAGCCGTGACCTGCTAGCTGGGACCACACTCCTTCCGCACACTGGGAATGAAGTCATGGCCCTGGCACAGTCCCTGCACTTTCCAAAGGCAGGAGTGGCCTGTGCAGCCTGCGGGAGGCGCAAGGCTGGGGGGGTGGGGTGGGGGGGAGGGGGCGCCCTGCTGCTGGGGGCAGAGCCGAGGCGATGTGCCAGCACGCAGCCCACAGCAACGCCCGCCTGCCTGGAAAGGCCATTCTACGCCAGCTGACCCGGGCTGGGCAGAGATGAGTGTGGGGCCAGCAGGGGGAGGTCGCGTCCCCCACAGCCGTAGGGCTGGGGGTCACTCTCCCCCACGAGGCCCCGCAGGGTGACTGACCCGGCACTTCCCGAGATCCCACGGCACCCAGCGCCCGACTCACAGCATCCGCAGTTTGTGGAACGTGCGATCGTCCTGGTCGAGCCACGGCCCCTTGTCATACTTGAGGTATTCAATGTCCTCCACCACCTGGCAGGGGAGGCAGCGTAAGGGTCACGGGGCCAGAGGGAGGCGCGCCCCACCGCTCGCGCGGGTCACGGAGGTGCTGGAGGGCGTGGTCTGAGAGCTCTGCCCAGCGTCACCCGAGTGGGACAGAAACATCCTCGAACGCTGGCAGGGAAGGGCAGGGCCAGAGAACTGGGCGGAGGGGCGCTGGCTTTGCACACAACCAACTGCGTCCGATCCCCGGCACCCAATATGGCACCCCAAGCCCACCAGGAGTGACTTCGGGCACAGAGCCAGGAGTAAGCCCTCATGTGGCCCCAAAACCAAAAAAAAAAAAAAAAGACAAGAGGGCGCAGGAAGCGGCACTCTGGGAAATCACTCATTTCCCCACCGGTCCTAGGAGGAAACATCTGACCCAACACAGAACCAGTTTCGCTCCCGGGGTGAAGTACCTCCGCTCCCCCAAAGAACCTCCCTTCCCTGCCACACTGTCCCCAAAGAACCAGAACCAGGAGCTCTCGGGCCCAGAGGCGTGAACTCAGACCACGCTGTCTGCGGGACGGGGTGACTTCTGACACGCGCCACCTAAACCACTACCATCTGTGCAAACACGTCAAGCTCCCAGGAAAGGGGTCGGAAAGGAAAATAAAAGCAACTTAATCCGCAGGGTGCTGAGCCCGGGGGCGCGCCCGTCGCTGCCTCCCCGCTCCACGTTCTACAACCACAAGCAGCATCACTCGGGAGCAGCAGAGGCCGGGCCCCGGACACTCCCAGAACAGCGAGAGGTGACTGGGGGATTATCTGCCTGCTGGACCCTCGGCCGGAATCAAACCTAGAAGTGACCGCAGACTGTTTACCCACTTTCTTACCTTTTCTGCATCTTGAGCTTCCCTTGCCGTGTACTGCAAAACCTCACATTTTTCACTACAAGAAAAAGATAAAAAGACGTGAAGCGGTCAGACCTAAGTCCACCTGCGGCGGGAAGCACAGCACCGAAGGCGGCGGGAGGGGCAGGGCTGCCCTCGGAGGAGCTGGGCACAGCTGGCTCCCGTGCCCTCCTGGAGAACACTGCCCAGGCCTCCGCGGTCGCCTCCCCTGCAAGGCGGGTGTGTCACCAGCAAGGCGACCATGACACACGGAGGAGACCGTGAGGCAATGGAGCCACCGGGAGGCCACCGGGGGGAGTAGCTGAACAGCAGGAGGCGGGGGTCTGCGGAGAAGCTGCCTGCTGCCGACTCTGGCCGCGGTCCCTGGGGAAGCCGCCGAGGAACCCCCGCCCCTCCCCACGGCCTAGTTATCAGCCCTGAGAGTAAAACCTCCCAAACCTCGGAACTCACGAGCTGAACCCCAACACAGGGCCAGGACGGGAAGCCCCACTAAGCCCTGGACACTCCTGATTGCCACGGACCTCAGGATCAAGCCCCGCGACAGGTTCTGGTACCTGCCTGCCTCCGAGGAGCTGGACCCTGGCCTGATTCTCCTGAAGTCAAGGGACAAGGTGGCTGACGACAGCCCCAAGGCCCCGCCCAGGAATGGCCCTGCGTGGCCAGAGCTCTGGGGTCAGCCAGGGACAACGTCCTTGCTGTGGCCTCTCTCCCGCCCGGCTCCCTTCAGAATCCAAGCATCGCCCAAAGCAGCAAACCCGGAGCCAGCCCACCTTCCCCAATCCAATGGAGACACGTTCTGCTCTGTCCTCATGTGAAAGCGACAGAAACCCCGGACAGCACCCGCAGTGAGAGCCCAGCCCTGTAACCCAGCACCGAGCCCAGACAGCACCCCACAACCTGGTACCGAGCTCAGACAGCACCCGCATTGAGAGCCCAGCGTCCTGTAACCCAGCACCAAGCCCAGACAGCACCTGTGGTGAGATCTCAGTGCCCCATAACCCGGCACCGAGCTCAGCACCATCTCAGCACAGGGTCCTAGCGGCACTCACCTCATCTCTGGGAGGAAAGTTTTCTTGTAGGCGTCCTCGATGTCCTGGAGGTAGGCAGCGGACACTTTCTTCTCGTGCGGCTGGACAGAGGCAGGAAGGGCGGGTGAAACACTGACACCCCTCCCCCACCAAGCACCCACCCACCCGAGCCACAGGACGCCAGAGGCTGACCTAGCGGGCGCCAGTTCACTCTGCCACGTGACAGCGGTGTTGGGTGAGCTGTCCCTTTACTACAAAGGCCTTCCTAGCTCTGGCCACCAGGTCTACCCTGGGAAAATGAGGACTCTGTCCCTCCGGGCTGGGTTCGGACCTAACAAAGCAGCTGCCGCAGAACCCTGCACAGAGGCTTGCTTCGGCGTCAAGGACCAGACCGGTTTCTGGATCATTCCACAGAGGAGAATGGCTTTTTTATGATTGGGTTTTGGGGCCACACCTGGCCGCGCTCAGGGGCCACGCTGGCTCTGCACTCAGGAATTGCTCCGGGCAGTGCTTGGGGGACCCTAGGGGACGCCGGGGTCAGAGCTGGGCCAGCCGTTGTGCAGCTGCTCCTGCCCCAGGGTCATGGTGTCTTTTAGGCTTGCAGTTCTGTCCTTTGACCCTGGGTGGAATGTTCCCGAGAGCCTAAAGGCTACTTCTGCTTTAGTCGCCCCTAAGCAGGAGGGTGTCACGGCACTAGCAACTGGCAGGAGGGCAGGAGGCTCAGGCCTGGGTACCCACCCTCAGGGTCACTTCCAGCCCCTTCAGGACCCCAGGACGCTGTGCCGCGGGGAGGGGCTCTCTGGAACACAAGCCCCGCCCGCCCCTGCCCAGCATCGTCCCAGAGCCTGTGAGGGGGTCCAGGGCAGTGTCCAGGCTACGGGGGTCCCTCTCAACCGATGCCACACAGGAGTGGGGAGGGGAGCAGGCTGCCTTACGTTCCCTTTCTGCTGGATCCGGCTCTGGATCTCGGGGACCGGGACGTCCACGTAGACCACGACGTGGGGGGGCAGGTACTCACAGAGGGTGACCTTCCGCACCTCGTGGTAATGGTCCACACCTGCACACGGGCCAGGGGCACCCGTCACTGCCACGCGGCACCCACGCGACTGCAGCAGACCCTGCCCCACGGCCCTTGGCCCCCAGTGACCAGCCCACAGCATGCCAAGCCCGCAGGGACGGCTCAGCCGCATCTCAGGCCCCCTTCCCGGCCCACCTCCCAGGGCCCACGAGTGCCAGGACAGCCGTGTAAGAGCCAGGCGCAGCTGCCTGCAACCCGGGGGAAAAGCATCAGTGCGGTCTGGGCTGTGTGCGAGGCCGGGGTCTCGGCTCCCTGAGCACTGCCAGGTGTGGCTCCACCCAGTGCAGCTGCACTTTCCCCACTCAGGGCCCCTGAGACTATGACCACCCCCCACCGAGAATGGCTGACAGGCCCTGGGCCGACAGCTGAGCAGTTGGGAACTCCCTCCCCCCAACAGCTCACCTGTTCAACCCTGGGGACCGTTTACTGTCCCTGCCGGGCGAAGCCCGAACACCACCAAGTGTGGGCCCCAAACCCAAATGACATGACTTCTCTGCTGAGAACCCCGAGAGCGGCAGGGCGGGGAGCCGTGTCCTTGGGGTGCACAGAGAAGGGGCTCGGCAGACCCCCGCTCCCAAATGGGTGCCCCCCCCTCCCGGGGCTCCTCACAGAGCTTCAAGCAGCTTTGCACAGCAGCAGGCGTGGCTGCCAAAGGTTCACCAAGTGAACCTGTGGGAACCAAGGGTTCACCCGACGTCCTCAGGCTGCAGAGGTGGCCAGGGCAGCGTGGGCGGCACCCCGCGGACTCACACTGCTTCCTGATGAAGCCCTGCTTGTACATGGCATCCAGGAAGACGAAGTCGCTGAAGATGGAGCGCTCCAGCACCACGCCCTGGCCTGCGGGGACATGGAGGGGACATCAGGCGGGAAGCAGGCCCCCTCTGCTGGCACCCGTGAGGGGCCGTGTGCGGGCGGCAGGAGAGCTGTTTCCAGAACGATGCGCAGTCGGGATGTCCTGCTCCTGCCAGGAGTGTCCCCACACACCCGGCGCCCCGGATGGGAATGTGCCCCGGACAACCAGGCTCCCCCAAGGCACCTCGCTCCTGAGCTCCCGACACCCACCCTGAGGGTACCATGCCCTCCCGTGCTCCCCCGCACCCACGGATACTCAATGCTTCGGGGCCCGGGAGGGCAGATGCAGGCCTCCCCTAGGCCCCGGGGAAAGGCGGGCAACGGCCACCCACTCCCAAATAGCACGCACCCAACCAGCCCCCACAGGCAGCTGCAAGGGGAGTCCGGCCCCTCTGGACCCCACACCCAAGGGGCCAGGCCGCCAGGGGTCCTGTCAAAAGCACCTTCTGGCTCACAAGCTCAGATCCAGGGGCACCACAAGTCACGGATGCAGCAGCTGGATGTGAACAGCGTCCTGAACAGTGCCAGTCTACACCCCCACATACGATACAACACACACACACACACACACACACACACACACACACACACCTGGACCTCTACACACCCCAATATCCCACACACACCTGATACGACAAACACACACATGCCTGGAACTCTCCACACCCCAACGTCCTCCCCACACCTGATACGACACACACACGCCTGGAACTCTACACACCCCACACTCCACATAGAGCCCAACAGTCTGCACCCTCAACATTCCCCACACCCAACACTACTTACAAACCCTACGTCTACACATGTACCCCAAGAGTCCACACACACACACTCTATGCACCCCATCACTCTGCATATACCAACACCCCAAACACACCCAACAGTCTGCACAACCCAAACTCTAAACACACCCCCCCAACAGTCTCCCTGTCCACCCCCCAAGATCCTCCAGTCTTTGCACCCCCACATATGACCAAATGCACGCAAACGCACCCACCCACACACACCTACACCCCCCAACCCCAAGAGCACCCGGGAGCTCAGACCCTCCATGGTTGTCGCTGGCTGGCATGTGTGGGGACTCACTCCAGGCAGGTTCCATTTCCTGCTGCACCTGACAGCCCTGATGCTTTTTTCTTCTTTGGGTCACACCCAGCAATGCACAGGGGTTGCTCCTGGCTCTGCACTCAAGAATTACTCCTGGCAGTGCTCAGGGGACCCTAGGGGATGCTGGGAAATCGAACCCGGGTCGACCGCGTGCAAGGCCAATGCCCTCCCCGCTGTGCTTTCGCTCCAGCCCCGCCCTGATGCTCCAGTCCCCGCCACACCACCCCCGTCCACTTTGGCCCACCTTGGCAGTCCCAGCCCGGCCAGGGCACAACAGATGGCGGCAATGCACCATTGGCCAAACCCAATCCGTGGGCTCCCTGCCCAGTCCCTCACAGGTCCTCACACTCCATCCCTGCCTGTCCCACCCCAGTGACAGGTGCGGGAACCCCGGTCTCTGAGGTCACGAGGTCTCTGCTACCTTCCCTCTGAAGCAGCACTGTGGCTCTCGGGGAATGCCGGAACCAAGGCGCCAAAGGCCCTGGGAAAAGTGGACACTGTGGCCGTCCCCAGGACCCCCCGGCTCGCACCTGTGCTCAGCAGGTGCTCCAGAGCGTCCGCATACTGCAGGAGGCGGCTGGCGTAGAGCCAGGACTGCAGGCGGTAACTGTTGCCGTCGTTACTTTTCGGGTCATCGTAGAACTTCTCCAAGCTGCAGTTCCCACTGAACTCCACGTCCAGGGGCCTCCCGTCACCCGTGGTGCTGTCGGCATAATGGATCCCCGCTTCCGGAAAGTGCTTCAGGCCTGCAGGGGAGACGTGCCCAGCGGGGGCAGAGCTCGTCAGCAGCCCCCCTGCGGGAGACGCCAGGCCCGGGGAAGGCCCCCTCACGCCTGGATCCTGCAGGCGGAGACCCGGGCAGCAGGCGACCACCAGCCCCCACCAGGAAGGGTCGCCGGAATAGAACCCGACCGGGCATGACCACCACGATATGTCTGTCACTCGCCCACCTCGGAAAGAGGGAGACGGTTTTCTCGACGATATTCCGGATGCGCACCCCCACTGCACTGGGCCACCCGGGTGTGAACTAGCACACGAGTCGGGACGTGCCGACACCAGGAATCTCCGCGCACGGTCGGGCTCGTACCGAGTTTCTGGGCGATCTCCTTGGCCAGTCTGCCTTTCCCGGAGCAGATGTTGCCGTCCACGGTGATGACCTTGCTGTACTCCGTCAGCTTCTTGCTGGTTTTCTCACCCAGCACGAAGGCCAGAGGCCCGTAGCGCCTCCCGCACTGGGCACTCGAGTGAAACCCATTCTGGAAGACAAAGTGGCAGCACTGCAGCCACGGCCACGGTCCTGGGACCGTGGGTTTGTCTGCTGCTGCTCTGACTGCACACCCCGGCGGAAGGTGTAAGGGCAGCTGTCTGTCTGTCCGTCCGTGTCGGCGGTAAATCCTCACCAGCCTAACAGAACTTACTTGACGGGATCACCAAACACTGGCTGGGAGGAAAGCGGGAAAGGAGGGGGTCCCCACATCTCCCCCTACCCTGCAGGGGTCCCCACAACCCCCCACCCTGCAGGAGCCCTGCAACCCCCCATCCTGCAGGAGCCACCCCCCCCCCCCCGCCCCTGCAGAGGCTCCTGCAACTCCTCCACTCTGCAGGGCCCCTGCAAACCCCCACCCTGCAGGAGCCCGGCAACCCCCCCCGACCCTGCAGGAGCCCGCAACCCCCCATCCTGCAGGAGCCCCACACCCCTCCCACCCTGCAGAGGCTCCTGCAACTCCTCCACTCTGCAGGGCCCCCGCAACCCCTCACCCTGCAGGAGCCCCTGCAACCCCCCCCACCCTGCAGGAGCCCCTGCAACCCCCCCCCCCCCTGCAGGAGCCCCTGCAACCCCCACCCTGCAGGGCCCCCGCATACCCCCCGACCCTGCAGGGGCCCCGCAACCCCCCACCCTGCAGGGCCCCCGCATACCCCCTCACCCTGCAGGAGCCCCTGCAACCCCCCCACCCTGCGGGAGCCCCTGCAACCCCCACCCTGCAAAGCCCCCGCATACCCCCCGACCCTGCAGGGGCCCCGCAACCCCATCATCCTGCAGGGGCCCCGCAACCCCCCACCCTGCAGGGCCCCCGCATACCCCCTCACCCTGCAGGAGCCCCTGCAACCCCCCCACCCTGCGGGAGCCCCTGCAACCCCCACCCTGCAAAGCCCCCGCATACCCCCCGACCCTGCAGGGGCCCCGCAACCCCATCATCCTGCAGGGGCCCCGCAACCCCCCACCCTGCAGGGCCCCCGCATACCCCCCGACCCTGCAGGGGCCCCGCAACCCCTCACCCTGCAGGAGCCCGGCAACCTCCCACCCTGCAGGGGCCCCCGCAACCCCCCACCCTGCAGGAGCCCGGCAACCTCCCACCCTGCAGGGGCCCCCGCACCCCCCACCCTGCAGGGCCCCTCCTCCCGAGCACACGCCCGTGACCCCCGCGTCCGGCCCACGTCCCGTCCCACCGGCTGCCGGCCGCCCCGGGGGGCGCTGGACTCCCCGCCGAGACCCCGGCCTCCCGCACTCACCGCGCGCGGGGCGGCCGCCGCCGCGACCCGCAGCAGCCTCAAGGCCATGGCTCCCGGCGCTCGCTCAAGGACCCCGGGACGGCCGGTCCTCCCGGCCGGCGCGCGCGTGACGTCACGGGCCGCCCTCGTCGCGCCTGTCGGAGCCGGCCCGGCGCGCCGCGATGACGCCACGGGCTGCCCGCGCCGCGCCTGTCGGGATCCGGCCGCCGCGGCCGCGCAGGCGCGAGCGAGTCCGCCCGGTCCGAATCCGTCGTGGCCGCGGGACCCCGACCCGGGCCCGGAAAAGGCCCCCGAGGCTTCGACGAGCGTCCCCGCCGCCCACGTCCCGAGGAGGAGGCGCCCCCGCCCCCGTGTTCAGGTTCCGAGGGCCGTCGAGTCCCCCCCGGTTCCGAGGAGAATCGTCTCCCGTGAGGCTCTGAGGGGGTCGTGTCCCCTCGGATTCCGAGGAGAATCGTGTCCTGTCAGGTTCTGAGGGGGTCGTGTCCCCTCGGGTTCCGAGGAGAATCGTGTCCTGTCAGGTTCTGAGGGGGTCGTGTCCCCTCGGGTTCCGAGGAGAAAAGTGTCCTGTCAGGTTCTGAGGGGGTCGTGTCCCCTCGGGTTCCGAGGAGAAAAGTGTCCTGTCAGGTTCTGAGGGGGTCGTGTCCCCTCGGGTTCCGAGGAGAAAAGTGTCCTGTCAGGTTCTGAGGGGGTCGTGTCCCCTCGGGTTCCGAGGAGAAAAGTGTCCTGTCAGGTTCTGAGGGGTCGTGTCCCCTCGGGTTCCGAGGAGCGTCCTGTTCCCTCAAGTTCCGAGGGGGGTCCTGGCGCCCCAAGTTCCGAGGACAGTCGTCTCCCGTCAGGTTCTGAGGAGAGTCGCACACCCTCAGGTACCGAGGGCGGTCGTGTCCTCTCGGGTTTGGAGGGGGCTTGTGCCCCCTCAGGTTCTGAGGAGAGCCCTGCCCCCTCAGGTTTGGAGGAGAGTTGTGTCCCCCCAGGTTCCGAGGGGACTTGTGTCCCTTCAGGTACCAAGGGGAGTTGTGCTCCCTCGGGCTCCGAGGGGGGTTGTGTCCCCCCAGGTTCTGAGGAGAGTCGCGTCCCCTCAGGTTCCGAAGGCAGTCGCGTCCCCTCAGGTTCTGAGGGGAATCGTGTCGCCCAGGTTCCGAGGGGAGTCGTGTCCCCCAGTATCTGAGGAGGATCGTGACCCCTCAGGTTCTGAGGGGCTTGTATCCCCCCAAGTTCCAAGGGCAGTTGTGCCCCTCAGGTTCCTAGGGGAGTCGTGCTCCCCAGGTTCAGAGGGCAGTAGTGCTCCCCAGGTTCTGAGGGGGCTTGTGTTCCCTCATGTTCTGAGGGGGATTGTGTCCCCCCAGGTTCCGAGGGCAATCGTGCCCCCCAGGTTTCAAGGGGGGTCGTGTCCCCCGGGTTCCGAGGGGAGTCGTGCCCCCCAAGTTCTGAGAGGGATCATGACCACTCAGGTTCCGAGGGGGTTGTGTCCCCCAAGGTTCCGAGGACAGTCATGCCCCCCAGGTTCCGAGGGGAGTCGTGGCCCCCAGGTACCGGGGGGAGTCGTGCCCCCCAGATTCTGAGATGCCTCGTGTTTCCCCATGTTCTGAGGGGGCTTGCGTCCACCCAGATTTCGAGAGTTGTGTTCGCCTAGGTTCCATGGGGAGTCATGTCCCCTCATCCCCCCATGTCTGTAGGTCAGCCCCCACCCTAGTCACCTCTCAGCCTCTTGGAGGGAAGGGAAGTGGGGGGCTCTACAGGGACCTGTCTGCCCTCTCCTGATCAAGGAGGCAGGGCCCAGTCCTGCCTGGCCCTGCACCCACCCCCTTCCCAGGCCCAGGCCCCCATTCCCCACCCATCTGTCTGGCCCCCCTCATCGACCTAGCAGTCAGCTTCAGGTGTGATGCTGGGAGCCCAGAGTTTTGTGAGCTGCTGCGCAAAGGTCAGTGACTTTTCAGCCTGGGAGAACACAAAGGGCTAGGGTATGGTCCATTTGTTGCTGTAGACTTGGGGGGGGGGGCATTTTCAGGGCACTAGCTGGCTGTGGGAATCAGTTCAGAGGGCAGTGGGGCCCTAGGTTAGTTTTGGACCCTCTAGCTTTGATGGCCAGAGGAGGGATAGGGACCCAGAGGGCAGTGGAGGGACATCAGGGGACAAGAAGCTGCTGGCAGAAAGGTGGCGTTCCTCTAGGCTAGCACTCCCAGCTCCCCTGGGAATCTTGGGAAGGTCCTTAAGGTCCTTGGGCTACCGCAGGACCAGCCTACACTGTTCTAGGACAACCTGGCCAGGGTATTAGGTCGTAGCCCACAGGACTGCACTTCCCCCGATGACTCAAACCCACATTTACTGTTTTGAAATGGTATTTAAATTCTTTATTTTCTGGTGTTTGTTGCTACTGAGTAGAAATACAGTTGTTTTCTTGAGGGGGAAGAAGCTGTAGTTTTTTTTGTTGTCATTAGCAGGAGAGGAGAGGGTGCACTGCTGCAGCTGTCTGTGTGCGACTGTGTCCAGCGACTGTGCCGAATGCACATTTGAATTCTAGGAGTTTTTTGCAGATTCCTGGACACTTTGAACAATGGTGTTATCTGCAAATAAGGACAGTTATTTCTTTGTAATGTGAATGCCCTTGACATTCACATTAGACATTAGACATTCACACTTCTTTTTGAGGTGGGGGCTGCCAAGGGTGCTCAAGAGTTCCGGGGACTGTAGGGTAACGTTGGTTTGTCCTTTCTCCCTTGCCACAGGGAGCTTAGGTTTATCAGATTACACCCATCACAGTGCTCCCAAGTCACTCCCATTCCTCTGTGTCTATCTGTACACTCTTCTCTGTGCTCTCCTCCCCAACCAGTTTAATCACCTTTTCCCCTTAATCAGACTCTGTTAACTTGTAAGTGTCCTTCTAAGGACACTGAACTTGTAAGTTAAATATTGCTTTTCCTTCTCTTACGTCTTTTGCATAGTTTAAAACAATGTCCTTTTCGTATGGACACAGGAAAACAGTTAATATTATGTTTTTGTAACTTGGGAGTTAATTTACTCTGAGTAATATTCACTCCCAGATATCCGCTTTCTTGACTTACGCCTCAGTTGCCCTTAGTTCCTAACACCCCAAAAGCAGGGTCCCCTCTTTCACTGTTGGTGGGAATGCCCACTAGTCCAGCCTTTCTGGAAAACAATATGGACAGTCCTTCAAAAACTAGAAATTGAGCTTCCATATGACCCCGCATTACCACTTCTGGGAATATATCCCAGGGATGCAAAAAAGCACAGTAGAAATGACACCTGTACCTGTATGTTCATTGCAGCACTGTTCACAATAGCCAAAATCTGAAAACAACCCAAGTGCCCTAGAACAGATGACTGGTTAAAGAAACTTTGGTACATCTACACAATGGAATACTATGCAGCTGTCAGGAGAGATGAAGTCATGAACTTTGCTTCTAAATGGATAGACATGGAGAGTATCTTGCTAAGTGAAATGAGTCAGAAAGAGTGACAGATATAGAAGGACTGCGCTCATTTGTGGAGTATAAAATAACATAACATGAGACTGACACCCAAGGACAGCAGTCACAAGGGCCAGGGAGATTGCTCCATAATGGAAGCCTGTCTCATGAGCAAAGGGGAGGAGGCAGCTGGAACAGAGAAGTGATCACTAAGAAAAAAATGGCTGGAGGAATCGTTCGGGATGGGAGATGTGTGCAGAAAGTAGATCAAGGACCAAACATGATAACCTCTCAGGGTCTGTATTGCAAACCATAATGCCCAAAAGTAGAGAGAGATTATGGGGAATCATATCTGCCGTGGAGGCAGAGGGAGGGTGGGAAAGGAGATGTATACCAGGGATATTGGTGGTGGGGAATGTGCACTGGTGGAAGGATGGGTGTTTGATCATTGTGTGATTGTAACCCAAACATGGAAGTTTGTAACAATCATGGTGATTTAATAAAATTAATAAAAAAAAAAGCAGGGTCCCGATGTGGGACTGAATGGATCCAGGGCAAGCTGTGAGCTACCCTGGCATCGAAATGGGCCAGGCCAAGTGCCATAATACTTAACTATAAGGTAAGAGTACGGTCATGGATGAACTATCATGACCCAAAAGAAGTAACTGGATAAGGGCCCTGCTGGGGTTGGGAAGACTAACCTGGCCTGAGGACTGTGGTCTGGAATATATAGTAAGATGTACTCAGGAAGAACCAAACTTTAAGCTTGATCTATCTCTTACTGTGCTCATACAAAATGACATTGCTAGAAATATTAAAGGTAAATTCGCTACAACTATTTAAGTGGATTACTAGCTGGGGAAAGAAGAAAGCAACACGCCCTGATTCCACACCCTGGAATCCTGCCCTTGAGCAGATCTCCTAGTAATCTGGAGTAATCTCCTTACATGAGATTTTGTCCCTGAGTTAATCTTCTGGAGGATGGCCTTACCTGTCTTTGTTGATTTGTTAATGTTTGACCCCACCTCTGTATCCCCACCCTACATGATTTCTATATAAACTAGGGGTAAGAGTGGACTGGAGGAAGCCGGAAGGAGAATGAGGGGGTATCCAGAGAGTGAGAAGCAGAAGGAAAATCAGAGGAAAATGGAGAGGAGATTGAAATAAACTACAATTGATATCAAGCAGCCTGGCCCTCGTTCTTCCTTCCTTCGCCTGCCCATCACCATCGACCTTCCTGGGGTGAGGGAAGCAGAGACCACTGAACACGGGTGGCGAGAGAGATAGAGTGCCACTGCCCCTTAGTATATACACAGGGGAACCCATCAGCAGTTCTTGGCCAGTTGGGCTCTTGGTTTCGCCCAAGGGAACCTGACTATCAGAGAACTCAGAGCCACGACTGGTGGAGCTCAGAGGCCTTCAAGATTGCATCTGGCAGTTCTGGAGGGACCATATAGTACAAGGACTCAAACTGGTGGAAGCATGCCAGGTTTGTGCCATAACTGCTGTCCTATCTCTGAGCACAGCCCTTTACTTCTCTTTCTCTGACTACAGCACTGCACTTGACTGCAATAGTGAGAGCAGACCTTCCATGCTGAGGGGAGAACAGTCATTTTTCTGTTAAGTATAATGATAACCATGAATAAAAAGGAGAATTGTTGGAATCCCTACTGGCACTGCT